CATTGAGAAGTTGGGGTATCTTTTTAACCCCGCTCACCGGGTTTTATTGAGGATAACAACTTGGGTTTCTAAGTTCAGTCCCGGGTTTGGAAAAATTTTTCCCTAGCTGTGAAACTGCAACAACCAGGGAAACCATTTAAAGGGCATTTTTGATAATGTAAGGGGGAAAAGTGGGTTCCCTTGGATTTGAATGTTCCCCCAGGGGTTTTTTCAAAAGGGAAAGGTAGTTAGGACCCCAAAGAAAAAAAAATTTAGGGCTTGTTGCCAATTTTTTATCTCAACAGAAACACCACTTTTACCACTTTTTACCAACCTTTGTACCACCTGTCTGGTTTGCCAAATATCTTTAGTTGTGAACGTCGAAGAAGGCTGCAAATTAACCTAGAATGTTTATCTTATCAAGGAGTAAAACTTTTGTGTGAAAAATTTTTACATTGGACAATCAGCTAATTGGATAATTACCAATTAGTTAATCACCAAAAAAAGTGAAAATTTTTTATTGGCTCAAAATGATTGAAATCGTTTGAAACACGGAGAAATGTAGTTTTTTAGAAAAACTTCAAAAATTTTTCACTTACATTTTTTTTCGAGACTTGGAAAAAAGTTTGAAAATTTGAAAATATTTTTTTTCCGCCAAAAGTGATCGAATTGCATGAAACGTGGATTAAAAATGCTTTGCAGAAAAACTTCGAAGATTTTTAGATTGGGGGAATACTAAAATCATCAATATTTGAAGTTGGAGTTCAGTAAATCTCGACATATTTTAGTAATTAGGATAGCTTAGTGGAAAGGGCTGAACCTGAAAAAAGGTTAACCACACAGATATTAGAGTTTCATAACTAATTACAATACAGCTTTATCAAATTCCACATAAAGAAACAGCACAAAAGGACCATTTAAGATCGAACCGATTTTACCTGCTGTACTATCATTTATGATTTCAATGATCAAAACCTCTGTACCGTCAATCTTGCCAATCTAATACCGGGTATCTGAATGTACCGGACCTCTTATTTACCTCTATAATTAGACCCAGTTGTTGTGGCAAGAAATGCGATTTCTCACAGGGGTTTCTTTTAACTGTGCACTTTTTGTCACTCTCGCAACTCGCAAGAGGCCCGGTATTATAGGGGGGTATAGGAAGCGAGTGCAAGTGTAAATATACCTTCCATCATCCACTGTGGCCTTTTTGTATTGTGAATGCGCATGCCGCTTCGTTTGCTATGCCAGATACCGTGAATAACCCCCATATGTCATTGCCAGGGTCGGGACAGAGCTGGAGATAGCATTTAAAAAGTTGCTAGAAGATAGCTAGATTTAGAGTAAACTGGTGGTAAACTGGTGGTAGCTGGGTGGTGCTAGCATGGATGTAGCAGAACGTAGCTACACGGGGTTTCATTGGAGTTGGTTATTTTAATGGCCAAAGAGTGCCGGAACTAAAGTTGCAGTTGAGGGGCAGTGTAAACCACAGTGTAATCAGGGACACAGAGCTACAGTGCAGGAGTACTGCAAAAGAACAGTGCAAGTGATACAGTCTGTAACAGTAAAACGCCGAAGAAGGAGATAAGATTGTGGCTGCAGAGGAGGAGAGGAGCTGGAACCTGATTGTGATTGGGTTGAAAGAAGATGAGGAAGAAGAGTTTCCTGCTCTGGTAACTGCATTTTGGAAGAGGTGGGGTGAGAACTTATTTTCAAGCGACAAGGGTGGGCTGGAAGCAACCAGGTACAGCTATCCGACCTATTAAGATCACCGTCCTGAGCTTAACAGCCTTTCATCAGAATCTGATGAAAACAGAGAGACTGACCCACCTTTTTTAGATCCAACGAAACCCTTTATATAAATCGACTTTTCCGCATGTATTACTTCATGGTATCTTCTTATCAAGGCTACAGACCTTGCCGTACCGGATTGATTGATCAAAGTGAGTCTCTTTAGCCCTCTTCTTCTTTAGAGCTTTAGGTTAGTGATCAAACTCTTCGCTACTCGCTCTTCACTGGATCTATCAGGTTAGATTCACATCTTTTTAGGTCTCAACCAGCCTTAGTTTTCCTGTTTTCATCATGTAGTACGTTCTGCTACGTACAGAGGTTTTGATCATTGAAATCAATAAAATGATAGTACAGCAGGTAAAATCGGTTCGATCTTAAATGGTCCTTTTGTGCTGTTTCTTTATGTGGAATTTGATAAAGCTGTATTGTAATTAGTTATGAAACTCTAATATTGTGTGGTTAACCTTTTTCAGGTTCAGCCCTTTCCACTAAGCTATTCCTAATTACTAAAATATGTCGAGATTTACTGAACTCCAACTTCAAATATTGATGATTTTAGTATTCCCCAATCTAAAAATCTTCGAAGTTTTTCTGCAAAGCATTTTTATCCACGTTTCATGCAATTCGATCACTTTTGGCGGAAAAAAATATTTTCAAATTTTCAAACTTTTTTCCAAGTCTCGAAAAAAAATGTTAAGTGAAAAATTTTTGAAGTTTTTCTAAAAACTACATTTCTCCGTGTTTCAAACGATTTCAATCATTTTGAGCCAATAAACAATTTTCACTTTTTTTGGTGATTAACTAATTGGTAATTATCCAATTAGCTGATTGTCCAATGTAAAAATTTTTCACACAAAAGTTTTACTCCTTGATAAGATAAACATTCTAGGTTAATTTGCAGCCTTCTTCGACGTTCACAACTAAAGATATTTGGCAAACCAGACAGGTGGTACAAAGGTGGTAAAAAGTGGTAAAAGTGGTGTTTCTGTTGAGATAAAAAATTGGCAACAAGTCTAATTATGTTCGTAGGGGTCCTAACTACCATATTCCGTTGAGAAATCCTTGTGAACATTCAAATCCAACGGAACCCTTAAATCGACCACTTTTCCCCTTACTAAACTATTGACAAGAAAACTAAAGTTGTTCTTTTACTTCTAGATTTGAGTGCTGCCTTTGATACTGTCAATCACCCAAGATTAATCAAGAAGCTAAGATCTGCTTATGGCATTACAGGCATTGCTCTTACATGGATCAGGTCCTACTTGGCTAACCGTTCATTTTGTATCAAAGTCAAGGATTCGTCTTCCTCAGCAACTGTTCTTGAGATAGGTGTGCCACAAGGTTCAATCCTTGGCCCCCTGCTATTCATATTGTACACCAAAGATCTTGAGAACATTGCAAGTATGCATGGGTGCTGTATTCATTTGTATGCTGATGACACCCAGCTGTATTTCACTCTTGATTCTGATGACCCATCACAGCTAGAGCACAATATGGAACACTGTATGTCTGATATCAAGAAATGGATGACAAAAAATTTCCTTCAACTGAATTCTTCTAAGACTGAAGTCATCGTTATATCCTCTAAATTTGACTCAAAAAAATATTCCAGCCTCTCTACAGATTGTTAAGGATCAAGAGCCACATGTTGTTAGTGGAACTGTGAAGAGTCTTGGGCTGTATTTGGACAGTTATCTTTCAATGAGTGATCAGATTACGTCAGTGGTTCAGTTCAAGCATGTAATATTCAGATCAGAAATTTGTGGTTTATTGCATCAAAACTGTCTTTTAACCTTAAGATTCAGCTTGTTCATGCTCTAGTACTCTCTAGAATTGATTATTGCAATAGCGTATATTTTGGACTGAGCTCTTATGATTTAAGTCGTTTACAGAAGGTGCAAAATTCTGCTGTAAGATTTATTTTCGGGAGAGGAAGAACGGCACACACTACTCCACTACTTAAGAAAGTTCATTTTCTACCAGTTAGATTTAGAATAGATTTTAAGATTGCCCTACTTGCCTACAAGTGTTTAAATAATATAGCTCCTCCTTACTTAAAAGAGTTGATATCTCCTAGGCAGCAAAGTTTTAAAAATGTACGTCTTGATAATGATTATTTTTACCTTAGTTTTCCGCCCTCTCCTAACTATGTAAACACAGAGAAAGCTTTTAGTCACTGTGCAGTTAAAGTATTTAATTCCTTGCCATACGACATAAGATCAGCTGAGTCAGTTACATCTTTCAAGACCAAACTTAAAACATACTTCTTTTCTCTAGCATTTGATTGATTTTGCATTTACATAGGTAAAATGAACTTGTCATGTCTAATTTTCAATTAAACTAAGCTCAGTTAATGTAAGAGCCGCTTTAGAAAGCACTGGAGTTTATCTCCAGGATTAAATTATATCGAGTTATATGATTTAGCTATAAGGCGGTTTATAAATGTTGTATTTATTATTATTATTATGCTGAAGAGTGAACAGAGAGTATCATTCATGTTTATCGCAGAATTATTATGATTTACTAGTGTAACTAACCCGTGCCTACGGCCAGGACTTCACTATCGCAGTTGAAATGCAAAAGTATAAACCCGCATATTATATTCGAAAACACGCATTGCATTGTCGTAATTTGGTGCAAAAGTATGAACTCTCTCAGTCCAAACAGACTGCAATTTTATTCCGAGTGCCCCCTAATAAGCTTATAGTATTACATAACAGGGCATCTTGGGGAATCTTGCAGCTGATCCACTACCAAATAACCCAATTATGATTTATGTACCAACGCTGCAGTAATAGGGGAGAGAGCGAGAAGAAGCGGGAGAAAAAGTGAGCCATTTTATGTCACATTTGTGGTACAAAACCATCAATTAAACCACTTACCACCAGCCAATTTAAGAAAACTTAAGCTGTCGGGCTTCATCAGAGTTGTGCTGGAAATATACCGAAAAAACTAGTCCCATAACTCAGATTAACTGTTTTCTTGATTGAGTCGTTCGTAAATTACAAACACTCACACACACACACACACACACACACATAGATTTATTGAGATTATATATATAGATTACTGGTGGGCTGTGGGTGATGATGTCATTTTTGGCACACAGCAGTACTTTAAAAATCGGAATGTTGCAAAAATCGAAACACCTCGCTATTTAAAGTCCAATCATTATTCTTTAAGCTAATATAATTGTTTACTCTTCATTCATTTTAATAAAATGCTTATAATTTTGTAGGTATTGATCATGGTCAGAGAATGTTACATGTTCAAGAAGGATGGGAGGTGTAGGTTTGGAGACAGCTGCCGTTACAAGCATATAAAGAGGAACAAGATAACTACCAAAAATGATAACACATCCTCCAGAATATGTCCTCTCTTCACATCAAAGGAAGGTAAGATTTCTTACACATTTATTTTAGAACAAGATGATCGCAAGTAAGTAAGAAAGTGCAGCAACTTGTTACATACATTGTATAATGATAGTCAGTATCTTTTTCTCACATCCAGAATGTTTTAAATTTCCTCGCAGTTCAATGTTCCCCGCCCCGCCCTGCTGTCTTTCTGGATGATCTTTTAAGCAATATTTTGTATCCTGAATACATTGAATTTCACAATTTCAGGATGCAAAGGTGGGTGCAAAATGGCCCATGCTTTTAAGGAAGACACTGAGTTGCTTGAAATGTTCGACAATGGGATTGGCATTATCAATATACAGATGAAAGAAATTGACAAGCTAAAACTTCAAATGGAAATGATGCTGAAGCTTGGGGAGAAAGACATGTATGATCTACCAACACCAACACCCTCTGACACATCTACCATTTCTTCTTCCCAATATGTTAGTTTTACACAAAAAACGGGAAATCCACCATCACTAACATTTAGTTCATTTCTTGGACAATCTGATAACTCAAGATATAAACATGAAACAAGGGCTACACCAGATGATATCTCTGAAGAATCTACCATGTCATCTAGGCTGCAAACTTTGCCAAGGTCTGAGACAAATGTTGCCAATGTTTACAAAGAACTGCGTGGAGATGAATACGTTCGTGAGATACAACAGATAGAGAGATTGTATAGAGGCAAATGTCAGGTACTGAAAAATGATTATGGTGCCATGCTGCAGATAGTTATGAAACCAACAGACCCAGACTGGAATCTTACCATACTTGAAATAAATCTTGATGTTTTTGTTCCACTTGAATATCCCACTGCAAGTTGTAGCATTGAGTTCTGTGATGAACGAATCAGTGAGTCAACAGCAGAGTCCATCAACACTGCGATAAAGGAAGAATTGGCAATGCGTGAGGGTTCACCATGCCTGCGTCCAATGTTGCGATGGATTGAACGAAACATTAAAGATATGCTGCAACCAGAATCTCAATTTCACACTCATTCCTCTCTAAAAGTTTACAAAAAAGGAGAGATAGAATGGAGTGACTCTGGCTCAGATGGCAGTATCGAAGAGGATGAAACTAGAGCCGATGTTTCTGCACCAGTGCCAGATCAAAGTGGAGAATTCCTTGACAAGGAAGTTGGAACCTCAATACGGCTTATAGACATCAACCTTCACGGCACAAGTCATGGTCTGGTCCCTCAACAAATCCTCTTTCTTGTACAGTGTCTAAGATGTAAAACACAGGTTGAACTTGTTGTTGCTCCCAACTCTAGTAAGAATGTAGCCTGTCCGCGGTGCTCTTGTGAATTGGCGTGCAAGCTTTACAAGAAATTGTGTCTGCCTGGCACTGTGTCCATAGCTTGTGTTGATCTGATCGGGTGTAGTGTTGCTGATGTTATTCTTTCCAGAAGTCAGATTTTGAGTATCTGTACAGAGTGCTCCTCCTCAACTTCTCTCGGACTTGCCTCAGGTTTGAATATAATCAAGATTACGCTTTTTAGTTTGTGGATATCTATTTTAAAATACTTTTTCATTCAAAATTAGTCTCACAGTCCTTGCAAACTAACTTGACATATTTCGCCTGACACTTGTATTGGAATAAAATATATGTTTTTAACAGGTACGAACAACGAGACATGGTGCTTGTCTTGTGGACACAAGATGTCGATATCATTCGAAGGCATCAAGATTATCGTTGTTAACCCACCCCTCACAAGCGGCAAACAACGATCTAAAACAAAAGTTAACAAAGGTTACACAGAAGGACAGCCTCTGCCGGAAAAAGGGACTTGCAAACACTACAAAAAGTCTCAGAGGTGGTTCAGGTTTAGTTGCTGTGGTAGGTTGTTCCCCTGTGATAAATGTCACGACGCGCAGGTCCCTGACTGTCCCTTGGAGCAAGCTAATCGTATGGTTTGCGGGCTGTGTGCTAAAGAGCAGCCCGTACGCGGTCAGTGTAAATATTGCCATGGTGAGATATCGGGTTCGTTAAAATCACACCATTGGGAAGGAGGAAAGGGATGCAGAGACAAGAATCGAATGAGCAACAACGACAGTCGAAAACATAAAAACTCTAAATTGAAAACGCAGTCTCAAAAAGATAAGAGAGTGGGTCAACAAAAGAAGAAGGAAACTGGTGATGATTAAAAATTTAGCGTACGATTTATTGTTGTGTAATTTCGGGATAATAAAATTTAAAATCTGTGTCTTGAAGTTCAAATTGCTTTGCGACATTTCAATGTTTTTTACGTCAATTGCTGTATTTTATAAACTTGTTCTTTCATCGTAACTGCATGTAAAGGGATTGTCCGTGCTTCTTGGTCTTCCTGAGATATGACAAGACGCTGTGGATTGCCAAGATATCACTCTGAAAACACTAAAGTGTTATTTTACGGCACAACCAAACGATATATCATTATCTCCTAGAAATCAGAGCATGTAACCATAACAGTTGTAGATCCAGCTGAAACTAAAAATACTGATGTTCATGTCAAATGTAGACATTAGTCTAGTGGCGCAGTGTTGATAATGTTTGCATCTGAATGTTGCGTTGTTGTTGGCTTTCTTCTAGTGTACTGTAACTCCATAACCATAACCTGTAAATATGTGACAAATGTAAAATTTATAACGTTTTTGTTTGATCTATATAACTTACGACTATACTCGCCACGAGAACAAGAAGCACGGACAATCCCCATACAGCAGTTACGGAAGAATAAAGTTTCCTGATCTACCTACTGAGTTTAAACTAAGTATTACGACCTAAAATATATGTTCAATGTGTATGTGTATGGTCCTTTTTCAAAAACACAGGTATGTTTCACAGCACTACAAAAACACTGACACCTTTCTTTACACCTTTCCTCCACATAATTTAGCGGCTACCTTCGGTTGCACATCTCACTCTCGGCATCAGAACAAGACGCTTAGTTTTGAAGAAGAGATTACTGCACTAAGTGTAAGAAAACCTATGCATAAGCTACAAATTACTGTATAATTCAATTTGCTTTTCTGAAGAAACTTGGGGGAATAAATGGCATGGGGTTTATATGAGTACTGCCTGTTGTAATTTGTATTGGAGATTATATGTGACTCTCACGTATTTGTTGATCCATTGTGCAAAAGTGTTTCCCTGCTCTATCAATGAAAATACCTGCACAGCTCGTGAAGGCGTGGTCCATTATTTAAACAGCTGATGAAGTCATGCTCAACTGCCATAATGGAATAATATTCGCTTTGGTAAGTCCAACAGCTCGTTCATGAGTTTCTCCATGAAGTCCTCCGCGTTCTCAACCGCCCAGCTATAACCGTCCTTTACAACACCTGATATTAGTATTTATAACTCAATTTTTTACCTCAAAAGAATCGTTTGAGTAGAAATATTTCCTCCTCATCAAGCTCAATTTTAAGAGTTGAAACTGAAACTAAAAGAGCCACCAGTGGGAATAGCTGGTATATCTAGAGAAAAGTGAACAATGTATGTATGATAAAGGGAATTCATAATGTAGCATAACATGTAAACCAATGAACCACTTCTTATGGCAGAATAACGGACCATGATTTAAACGCAGGTTCAAAAATCAATTATATACCAAGATCCTGCTCCTCCTCTCCAGTAAGGTAGTTGTACTCTTCATCTCGAGAGCAGGGGAGCCCAAAAGTGACACTTGTTTTCAAGGACTTAGACAGAGACAGAGAATCCGCGATTAAATCAGAGTCAAGTGGAAGTATTTTTTATGCTGGACAGATACATCACAATTTAGTTCAATTTAAAAGGCTACGTCCATAATCATCATGGGAAGTGGGTACCGGTAAAGGAAGAACATTGAGAAAGCAGTGAAATCAAAGATCGACTTGTCAAAAGTTTAAAAATGTAACGCATTACACGTAGGAAACGCTCATGGCGCAGACAAAACTTAAGAATTTCATTTGAAGTGCTTATTGAGGAATTAACAAGACAAGTATATAATTAAGTTCATTATTATAGAAGCATATAACCACAATAAATTAATCAAGGGATCGCCAGATCTCTCCCCCCCAAAGTATGAATAAAGGCATTGTTTTAAATTAAATGGGAAAATAATGAAATCTGATAAATTAGGTGTAATGAAAGAGTACCCCAAGCATGTTAATGTAAAACCAGTCCTAGACTTACAATTTTAGGTTCAGAAGCTTTACTAAAGATGAGACTGTAAAGGTTATAATTATGAGATCTTAATGATTATACTATATTAGTAAAGTGGCTGAGATTTACTGACTTCACATTTATTGTCTTAAAGCCAGCTTTTATTTTGATTAAAATGGATCAACCATATAGAACTTACCTGTATATAAATAACAAACAGGAATTGAATCATAAGATATGACACGAGCAGTAAGTATTATGATTGTAGTATCTGTTACCTGAAGCATGTCGTAATTTAATGTTAGAAACTGGGCGTGGCTGTCATGTGCTCATGTCACCACTTCCACAGTGAGACTAGGAAAATTCATCTTTGCTCGACCACTAAATAATACACAAATTTAAATATAAACCATGATGAAGAACATTTAAGTATTAACAAAAAGACAAGCAACAATTCAATCAAACCCCTGCTCTAAACATACTCCAGCGACCATTTTTACAGTTAGTGGAGACATGAGTTACTCCCCTTTTTTTCAAAAACCACTTCCAACTCAGTTTCTTCTACATCTCTCTCACCCCGTATGACTAAACGCAGTTTTGGCCAGATCATATTTTGTCTTAACCTGACATGATTTTGTTCAGGAGTATGCTGTGAAATAGCAATTCCAATAACGACGTACTTATAACACTGTACTAAGAAAAGTGCATTATATAGAAAATACCTGTTCAAAACAGAATTTGGAATATTTATTACGTAAATGGTTGCTACCTGACAAACGTATCTTCCATGATCAATCTGTTTGACTTGGTGAGGGCTCAATTCAGCACATCCTTATCTGAAAATAATACTGTGAATAGAAGAAACATAAGTTTCTAAAATCATCACAATTCATTTTGAATATGAATTGTATTTGATAGTGTAATTTTAAATCCAAACACTCAGCTTATAGGCCAGTAAAATATTCATATTAGTTTCATACTTCTGATGATAAGGAGACAGCCAAGAGACCTTAGCTCCTCTTAGCACCGGTTTTTAGTTGCACGAAAAAGATCCACCCTGAAATGATGTTTCAAGATAAATTTTCTTAGCAGTCACTTTAACTATAGGCAAAGGTCTTTTTTACAAATAAACCCGTCAAATTAATTATTATTCACAATAAGTTGCCCAAAATACTCACTGAGGCATGATCCAGAAATGATGACAAAGACTGAAAAAGGAGGTCTGTCTTAATTTGGAACTTGAGCTGGCCAGGGTATTGCAGCGTGGCATGGTTCCAAGATATCCATAATAATCTTTACCGCTCATCAGCTTCCATTTCTCTGAACAGATCTATTTAGCATTAATAGGAAATGAAATGTTGCCACATTGTTAAATGACATCTGTCTGCTATTATACAGGATGGTCCAAAGTAACTAACCCACATCACAGTGCGTAACCGTTGCTGTTGTGGGGCCCCCCCCCCCCCCTAAAAAGCGCCCCCCCTGTTTGGCACACCTTCCCTTTTGACGACCCTCCCTACAATTGAACAAATTAGTGTGATTTAGAGGATAATGCTGTAAAACTCCTAAAACAGTTTTTTTTCAAAAATTTTCCCATATTCAAACGACGATTTGGACGCCCCCTAAGATGGCGCTCTCCGTGCACAGCGGAGTCGCGTGCCCTCCGTTACACACATGCACATGCAAACCCTTTGATAACAAAATAACTTTTGAGAAAAGATAATTTATATTTATCACAAATTTATTACACAATCAATCAATAAATATATAACCGAATAAATAATATAATAATAAAATAATAATAAATACAACATTTATAAACCGCCTTATGCTAAATCAACCTCAACTGCAACTTTAGTTCCGGCACTCTTTGGCCATTAAAATAACCAACTCCAATGAAACCCCGTGTAGCTACGTTCTGCTACATCCATGCTAGCACCACCCAGCTACCACCAGTTTACCACCAGTTTACTCTAAATCTAGCTATTTCTAGCAACTTTTAAATGCTATCTCCAGCTCTATCCCGACCCTGGCAATGACATATGGGGGTTATTCGAGGTATCTGGCATAGCAAACGAAGCGGCATGCGCATTCACAATACAAAAAGGCCACAGTGGATGATGGAAGGTATATTTACACTCGCTTCCTATACCCCCCTATAATACCGGGCCTCTTGCGAGTTGCGAGAGTGACAAAAAGTGCACAGTTAAAAGAAACCCCTGTGAGAAATCGCATTTCTTGCACAACTGGGTCTAATTATAGAGGTAAATAAGAGGTCCGGTACATTCAGATACCCGGTATAGATTGGCAAGATTGACGGTACAGAGGTTTTGATCATTGAAATCAATAAAATGATAGTACAGCAGGTAAAATCGGTTCGATCTTAAATGGTCCTTTTGTGCTGTTTCTTTATGTGGAATTTGATAAAGCTGTATTGTAATTAGTTATGAAACTCTAATATTGTGTGGTTAACCTTTTTCAGGTTCAGCCCTTTCCACTAAGCTATTCCTAATTACTAAAATATGTCGAGATTTACTGAACTCCAACTTCAAATATTGATGATTTTAGTATTCCCCAATCTAAAAATCTTCGAAGTTTTTCTGCAAAGCATTTTTATCCACGTTTCATGCAATTCGATCACTTTTGGCGGAAAAAAATATTTTCAAATTTTCAAACTTTTTTCCAAGTCTCGAAAAAAAATGTTAAGTGAAAAATTTTTGAAGTTTTTCTAAAAACTACATTTCTCCGTGTTTCAAACGATTTCAATCATTTTGAGCCAATAAAAAATTTTCACTTTTTTTGGTGATTAACTAATTGGTAATTATCCAATTAGCTGATTGTCCAATGTAAAAATTTTTCACACAAAAGTTTTACTCCTTGATAAGATAAACATTCTAGGTTAATTTGCAGCCTTCTTCGACGTTCACAACTAAAGATATTTGGCAAACCAGACAGGTGGTACAAAGGTGGTAAAAAGTGGTAAAAGTGGTGTTTCTGTTGAGATAAAAAATTGGCAACAAGTCTAATTATGTTCGTAGGGGTCCTAACTACCATACTCCGTTGAGAAATCCTTGTGAACATTCAAATCCAACGGAATGCCACTTTTCCCCTTACTAGTTATCAAGATGT